GCTTATTCAGTTAATTCAATTCAATTCAATTTTATTTATACACCACCATATCACAACAACTGTCGCCTCAAGGCACTTTAAGGTTTAAGGTAGACCCTACAATAATACTAACAGAGAAAAACCCAACAATCAAATGACCCCCTATGAGCAAGCACTTTGGCGACAGTGGGAAGGAAAAACTCCCTTTTAACAGGAAGACATGAGACCAGCTGAGACCAGAAACCTAGACAGAAAGTGTTTACTGAGGTAATAAAGCAGTTAGACACAGCGGTAGTTTTCATTTAGATTTCCATAGAACTGAATAACTTCTGGCAACCTGAGTAGTCGCCCCCTGCTGACCAATCTCAGAAATGCTGGTTTAAGCTTAAATTGTCAGACCTCAAAGTTACACCGCCGGAAACCCATTTTACCTCTGCACCGCATCCTTCTATATAAATGTAACTACACGTCGGGTCAAGGCATACCACAAGACTTGATTGGCGTGGAAGGTTGCTTTGTGGGGAAAAGATCTGTTTCTGGTTAATTCGTTAAGTTAGGATGTAGATTTCCTGCAAAAGTTAAAATCATGCTTTAGGACACCTTTGCATCCACCGCACTGGTGACTTTGAGCACCGCCACTGACATTATCGCCAGATGTCACCGTACACTCATGTCTTCAACCCGGCTGTGGCGGCCCAACATCCCATGTTACACAAAACTAACTAATCAATTTCGTTGACCAGTAATTCCCGTCATCGTTTTCAGGGTTTTTTTTCCTGACATAAACGAGACGACAGCTAAATAAAATCTAATGCAGGGTGACAAAAACTGATGAAATGTATTGACAACTTCTAAAAAAAAGATCCAACCAAAACTTATGTTACGTAGAAAGGCAGGATGAGTCTGGAAGCGAACCAATCAGTAATCTCCTTGTGCAGTAAGATGTTCACATTTGATCTGCGCTGACGAACAGGGTGGGGTCGTACAGCCACAGGGGCTCTTTCCAGATCCCAACACATCCACGTCCTCACTGCGAGGGCATGTAGCATCTTCTCATTTCAGTCTGTGCCGGAAAGTTCCCAAAATGTCAGTGTAATAATTTGGCCTCCTTTCATGTTTCTGCCAGTGCTGGAGACAAAATCAGTTTAAATATTTAGTTTGGCTTCTCACAAACATACAGCGTGATGCCAAGCTGACTGGAACTTGCAAATACTTTGTAGGACATGCATCTAATCTAAAACTGTGGCACTTCTCACACCGAGTGCTGTGAAAATATCTGTGCATGTCTGTGCGGTGGTCTTTGTTGTATCAGCTCGGTACATTTTATAGCTGCCTGTGCATGCACTGGGTCTGTCTGTGTGTGTGTGTGTGTGTGGTTATTTGTGTGTGTTTGCTGATCCTGGCAGCTCCTGATTGTCATCCTGATCTCTTGACTGCAGTTTCTGGCTGACGTGGACAAACTGTCACTAACCCTCCGCTTCCCCTCTTTCTCTCATTTTCTCCTCCTGTTGATCTTTCCCTTTCTTCCTTTCTTCCCTCGCTGTCCGCTTCACCTCTGCTGTCATTCCCTCTAATCTCTCCTTCCTGTCCCGCTCATCCTCCTCGTCCGCTCGTTTTGCACCGTCATCCACTCGTCTTCCTTCCCTCGTTGGCTCGTTCTGCTTTATCACGATTCTTGTTATTTTTTTGTTTTTTGTTGCGTTGTCATCTTCTCGTCCTGTTTTCTTCGCCCTGCCTTTGACATCTGCACGTTTGCACCGCGACCTCTCATTCTTTTATTATTTTCTGCTTGTTTCCTGTGCTTCTAACCTTTCACTCTCGTTTTTCCTCCTCCTTACCTTCTCCTCATCTTTACCTCACTCTACCGGTTTTGCCACCCTCTTTCATCATCTCCTGCTCATTTTCCCATCTCATCACCTTGCCTCCTCTCCCTCCTCCTCCTCTCTTGTCTTTCTCTGTTTTTTGTCCCTTTTCCTCGTTGCGTCCTGATGCAGAATGGAATGTTCTATACTAGTTATGTAAGTACTTATCTCTGTTTAACGAGCTGCTCAGACACGTCCTCTCCCGGGTATCTTTCTCTTCATCTCTTTCCCTGTCACCTCTTCTTTCACTTGCATTCCCCGGAGACGCTTATTTAAAAAAAATAGAGAGAGAAAAAAAGGAATTTCATTCTGTTCTTGCACCATTATCATAAATAACCTTCTCACCTCTGTGATAAAAAGTAATAGTCTACGCTGCTTATGTAAGCAAATTGATGTGAGGAAGTTAGAACAAGGCACTCCTTCTCCCTCCTAAAACCTAAGAGCTCCATTCTTCTGGGTGTCTTTTAAAGGATCGGTATCTAATTTATTTGTCAGCCGTTCATCGGGTTATTATCCACATTTTTCTCCCCCCTCAATCAACAAATCCCATGAAACGGAAACAAAACAGCAAACCGAGCCACTCTGAGGCGCTTCAGAAGTCTGTTATCTCTGTGGCTGAAATGGCGACGTTATCTCGGTATAAAAGGAAAAACTTCATGTGCAGCAGAGGTCCGGTCCAGGATGCACAGATCAAAGTATTGTAATGAAGGATTTAACAACAAGTTACTAAATGGTTGCAAACAGCCACAGAGAGTCAGCTCTACTGTTTGGTTTTTTTTTTTCTAATATAAACAACACTTTTCAGGTATTAACATCGATCTGTGTATCAATTTGGTCTCATTTGTTGCTTTTAATGACCCTCAGGCCTGATTTAGACCTATAGGTAGAGGTTGTGGCGTAACCTTTTCTTTTCACGTCTTTGCTTTCATGGATAAACAGACTGCAGTGAACAGGATTTACCAAAAGGTTGTACATTATATAAAGAAATGGCCTGTTTTGCAAGCATACTTTCAGATACTTTGCCATTTTCATAAGTGTTGAAGCTTTTTCTGATGATAAATTAATCATACTGCATCAAAATAATTAATAAATGACAGAAAAGTGCCTGGTTTTTCTACTCTAAAAGTTTTTTTTCATCAGGCAATTTAAGAAAATTAAATAAGAAATTTTCCTAAATACATAAAATGTTGTTTTAATGAGCTTACAGAAGGTTATCTGTCATTTTAGATATTTTTTTCACAAGTTAGTCCCAGAGTGTTTCTTTCATTTACTACAGCAGTGTTTCTTTGTCATGTAGAGGGACTGAGATTTGCTGTTGCATTTAGACGACTTTTTATATTCAGATATCTGAGGGATTCAGTGTGTAGTTAAATGTTAATAAACTACACTGGCAGAAAGAAGAGTTTCTTTGGTTCAGCTTTGAGATCGAAATGGGAGCAGTATGTGTTTGCCATCGCTACTTTACAGGTCGTTTACCTCTTATTGGCTGCTCTTGCAAACAGAAAGCTTAAGGTATATCCCACATCGCTGACATAATACAGAGTTAAGAATCAAACACAAAACTAGAATATACTCATAATAGCTCCTCTTAACTCTTCCCCCCCATACAGTTGGCATCTGACAACCTGCTCTGTACCCTGTACCCTCTGACTAGCTTGGACACCTCAGTATATCTCAGTTAATACTTGGTTTAATGATCATTAGAGTAGTTGAAAAATAACAAAGAGCCTCTTAGTCGACTTTCAAGGGGTAAAGAGTTTAAACACCCTGCAACAGAGCAACAAAATCCAGCTGAAATGAGTCCCTGATGCACCAAGAAACATGTTTTTTTTGTTTTTTTTAAGAGATGTGCAGGAAAAAAATGTGTTGAAGTAATTCTCAAACCAGCTAATTCTTATGGTGTTATATTATTTCAGCCTTCAACTCCCACTGACAAGCCAGCAGGAACAGAAATTGCCTATGGGGATTAATTCAGCAGCACAATAATAGGAAAAGAGAGGTGATGGCTCCCTGAGCAGACTAAACTAAAACAAACTTTTCACCTCTTACACGGTACGACACAGAAATCCTGCGTGGTTCAGTCAGCACGACAGAAACATCAGCTTTAACCAAACAAAGCTCAGAGAGAGAATATTAATAAAACTGCTCATTACTGTCCCCGAGAATGAAAATACACAGTCTGTGACCGCAGCGCAGCTAAGATGACCTCCCATAATCCATGAGACAATAAATAAATCATAGCAGAACTGCATGAGACATCACAGGTAACACGAGTAAGCAGCTCGTCACGCTTCACGCATGATAATTGAAACGCCCACGTCTGAGATTCTCAACAGAAGGGCAAGGTTGTAACGGTCTACGCTGGTTGGATATTCAAAAATGCCATCAAAAAGCATTTTCCCTTTGCTTTTCTTTTTTCTTTTTTTTTACTGTGACTGAGACTGCAGGCCACTCAAGGTCAGAAGTCTGAGTTTGCATTAAAAAGCACAGAAAGAAGAAAGTCGCTTGTGCCGAGGAGATGGCAAAGGGAGCAGCAGAAGTTCAGCTGTGAAAGCTGAAACTTGGGATGAAAGATGCAGAGAAAAGACAGATTTCTTTTTTTATTAATGCGCAGATAGGCAGGGAGACACGCTGGTGAAGGATAGAAACAGCAGGCGGGAGATTGAGCATAAAAAGACAGATACAAACTCATGGATGTGTCACACGATGCACCGAGGAGCCGTCAGCGGCGTAAAGATAGATGGACAAAAACACCGGTTGAGAATCTGCAGCGGTGCATCGACACGTCTCACCTTCTCTGCTTTGTCTTGGTTTTCTTTTTGTTTTTTTGTCGTGTTTTAAAGAAGTAGGGAATAAAAATGATGCTCGCCGTCGTTTTTGCACAAGCAGCCGTGAAGACAGACAGGAAGCAGAGATAGATGGTTTGCAAATTAATGAGCGATTCAGGTGCGGATGACGGTAAAGTCAATTTCACCTTTAATCAGTGTTCAAATGCTAAAACCACAAACCCACTGATCAATTGCTGAACGCACAATAAGATCTTTTTTTTAATCCGAATTGGCTTCTTTTCGTACAACTTGTAGTTCACTTTGATTAATGCTTTTGAGCAACTGTCACAACTCGCTCTACAAAGGCGAGAACTTACTTGAGATTGATTATCTCCTGAGGGCGGTGTGCAGGTTCACCTCATCTGGCTTTTCTCCTGAGGGCATCTTAACCAGAGTATACACTGAGCGAGGCCTTTGCGCTTTGTGAGAGATCTTCAAAGTTGGTCATTTTGAGGGTCTTGCCATCGAACGTGGAAAATCAGCACAGAGAGGTCTTAAATGTTTTTTGCAAGCATCTTTTACCTCACATCCACATTTAAGTCCTGGCAATGACACTGCAGGGCTGAAACTGCGATTCTGAAAGTGGCAGCCATCGCTCAGAAAGCTGTTTGACACTGAAAAATAACAGACGGACAATTAAAGTAGCAAAAGGCTGGCTAGCTTACTTGTTACCTTCACCAAGGAAATTGTGTTTTTATTTGTTAACATATAGAAAGATTTAAAATAGTCTCACATTTGACCTTTGACCTCTCCTTCAAGTTCAATAGACTGGCGTGAAAGGTCAAAATGATAATGATGGTATATAGAGCTATTTGTTTCTGACTGCTGTTGTTTGTACCGACAATATATTGGCATACAGGGAACGATAGGGATTCTAAATATTGTTACTTTTGACCTTCGACCTCTTCAAGGTCAAATCAGGTCAAGCTTTTTTTTAAATGTCTTGTCTTTGAAACTTTGCTTAAAATCCTGCTGCCTTTGTTTGTATTGGCAACATTTAGAAAATGGCACTGATGTAAATGTCACGTTATAGTTTGCATCCAAATATCAGGACAGGTTTGACCTCTGACCTCACTTTTACATTTCACATCTGCCTTTTTTTTTCTCTTCAAATGTTTTATATCTTTAAATTGCGTGAGCTGCCCGGTTAGTTAGAAATATAATGCAGTATTATTACCTGTAAACACAAACTGATATTACTGTTAATACTGCGACCCACCTCCAGTACTTTCACAGCCCACCAGGGGGCCTCGGCCCACACTTTGGGAATCCCTGCTCAATCCCCATACACACCATTAAAAGTTAGTGAGCTGACTGCTCTGTAACCATCTGTGCAGAAGCTTCTCACTCGTGGTTCAGGTGGAAAAGGTCAGGTAGGCGTCCTCTTCACTGGGACCACCCATCTTCCTCCTTTTATAAATCACTTTAAATCCACAGTGTTCAGATGCAGTTTTCGGAGTATTTTAAATGACTTCGGCTCAGTTTTCATAAGTTTTAAAATGCTGTAGTCAAAAGCTCGCATAGCGCGCACAATCAAATCAGATCGAGTGAGGTGATAAATCATCCTGTGGAGCAGTCACATTAGTTTGACTTAAAATTAAATGGTCACATCAGATGTTCTCATTTCATCAAGATAATGCAAGTAGGGGAAAAACTCAATTTTACCTGGAGCCACTTTTTTTTTTTTTTTTAAATGATGAGCAAGAATATTTTTAACTTCAGCCAAAGAGAGCGCGTGAGGCACATTAGAAATAATAGAAACTGAAAGATATTCCTTCTCTGAGTCAAATCTGAGCTCTCTGATTTTATGCACGGGCTGTTAAACTCATTGTGTCACACTGACTTGTACTTACTGCTCATTATCTTAATATCTGTCATAAAAGACAAATAAATCAACTCATGAACACGCCTGACGGTTATGTCTCACATTTTTTTCAGATGTGTCAAATTAATCCAGAGATTCTCCACATCTGTGGAAACTTTTCACGCATGAAACTGTCTGTTTGCAAAGAGCAGCGCGTCACAAAAGAGAAAGTTAGACAGGCCATGAAAGGAGAGGTAGCAAAAACAGACAGAAAAACAATCATGCAAAGCTACGCTGGAGTCCGAGAGTCAACGTGCCTCATTTGAAATGACCACAGCAGGTCCTTTTTATGGTGTCAGTGCATAAATAACAATTAAATGATGATGCTGGGGTGGTTGTATTTTTGCCAATAACAAAACCCACAAGTGCACTTACTTAATTCATGTAGCTCATCATTTTACGTAAGCCTGCTATGACTTACCCATGGAGCTAATTGCTGTGTTTAATGGAAATATTTTACCGGTTTCTCTCAGCAGTTTGATTGAGGCTTTGTAATTGTGTTAAAAATGCTGCGGTTGTCTCATTTACAATGATGGATTAGGTCTGTGAAGGCAGCTGTTTTTTATGGGTTTTTGCAAACAGTGGGGTGAGTGGGGGCTGACCTGCAGCAGAGCAGGCAGTCACGGCTTCTGACTGCGTTGTAGTTATGTGTGATGAGGAGAGTGCAAACGCTATAAGGTGTTCCCAAAACCCAGTGAGGTGCTTCCTGGTTGTGTTTGACAGACATCAAAGTTGTATGGGCTCTGTCAGTAACTCATCTGTTGATATTAATACTCCTCTACTGTTGTGCAAGAGGCACGCCGCCCTGCACCTGCCCATATCATCTTGTAAACTGACTTCCTTCCAGGATATTCACCGACACGATACCGTAATGTACCGCAGACGCTCACGCCCATAAATTACCAATTTGTCAAGCAGAAGTCAGGCGGCGGCGACGCAGACACACGTGGGTTGTAAACGACGGCTACAAATTGCCCGTCACATCGAATTTGAAGCCTGTTCAGCTGTAGTGGATTTGATTTGCAAAGTGAGCAGGGCAGGGCCAATCACTGTGCTATTGAGCCACCCCTTTTTAAAGCAGTGGTAATGATTGCACTCAGTGGGAATCCACTAAGTACCCCTACTGCTTGCTGCGTTATTGTGCTCTTAATGTGCACATACTTGAGCATTAAATGTACTCTCCTTGCACATAAAGTAGGCTTTATTGTGAGGTTTTTATTTTATTTTATTTTTTTGAAGGCTTGAAGCCGTATGTGACAAAAGCCATGAAATGTTTGACTCAGGTGCTTTTGTTCTGATAGTTGACACCTGTTTTCTGTTTTTCTGCCAGGCTCCAGCTCCCATGGCTTTCCCCATGACCACACCGCAAGTGCCTGTGTATGGAATGGTAAGCATGCACATATTAACATATTCCCACACATGCCTGGGGGGGCACTGTCGTAGATTTATATGGAGACTAGAGCTGCAAGTCTGTATTTGTATTATTAATTAAACTGTGTGTTTTCAAATGTAGCATAACTAGCGTGGACACCCAAGTTTGAGAGCAAGGGGACCAATGTTCACAATTTGGTCAGAGAAGACAGATGGTTTGAAAGAGGAGTAAATGAGTCCATCTATGTGCGCTGTGAACGACCACCATTGAACTGAGGGGGTGGCCTATGACAGTCTGCTACCTACCATCTAGTTTTGAGATCCCTTCCCAGGTGCCTGAACCCCCACTCACACCTTGGGTTATGTGACCTCAGTGGGTCACATGATAGGATGAGGCAAGGTCTCACAGTGGTTTCACCTGAAACCTCTGCTGATAACGACCCATGCCCTCTTTCACAGCTTGGCACATGTGATGAGACACATGTTTAACCCTTTAAAACCGGTCGGAGCGGGCACACTCCATTTTGCATAACTATTTTAAAATCCCAGTAGCACTGCATATGAACCACGTAAGCTAGCACAATAAATTTTTTTGCATATGAAACCAGAGGAGTTGTACTTACATCTTATGCCATCAGCTTGTCCTGGGTCACAGTTTCCTTCCACATATGGCTTTGCAAAAATTGCATAAAAAGCACTTGCAGCAACAAAAACATAATATTCCAGAAACACGCTTTGCCGATCCGATCAGCTGTTCGAAACACTTCCTACGTTGGAATAGACGTCAGCGCGAACTATCGTATGTCCGCCATTACCTGCCCGAAACCGGAAGTGATGTCATTTTCGCGGAAATTTTGTTTTTTACCTTCAGGGCCTTATAAGCCTGTACTGGTGTTTTTTAAAAGTCATATTTGGCTTTATGCTTTTCTGTATAGTTCCTGGGATGCTTAGAACTCAAATTGCACTGCTGGAAATAGTTTATTTTGATGCACATGCTGTTTTCTTTGCGAATTTGCATTGTAATATTTATTTTCGTTTTTCCTGCAGTATATAAAAATTGGTGTATCTCAAAAATACAAATATGAAGACACTCAAAATAAATTTCCTTTTGTTAGAAACTATTTTGTGCAACTTTTTTGTATTGACAGTTTTGAGGGACAAGCCTCTTAAATTTCTCTAACTAGAAATATATGTTAAAAAACAAAAAAAAAAGCGATTTTCGATTTTTTGTAGTTTATTGCACTTTTTTGCAATTTATGTAGTTATTAGAGACTTAATGCATACATATTATCAAAATTTGGGCTATAACAGTTATATTGATGTATAGCAACTTGAAATGCTCCCACAAATGGCACTACAGCATGTAAAAATATAAAGATAACTCTGGCAGACTTGGTCCTATGGTAGGTCTTAAAGGGTTCATAGTGGGTCAGCTCCCAGGAGGGTTTAAATGCCTGGGACTCACCACCTTCTGGTTTTAGACCTGAAGAAGCTTATTGGATGAGACGTGAAACATCTGCACGAAATTTAAAGAACTCCAGCCACCTTCTTTTTCAAGCTCCTCAGTTACATTTCCTTACAAAGCATGCTCTGAACAGCCAGTATGTTCAGCTGGTGAAGACTGTCCCACTACCTAGAGTGTATTGTTTGGCACACTTCACCTGTAAAACAAAAGGGATTTCACCCTCAGGTTAAACACAATGAGCTTGAAAACTGACTTTGTTGGGTGATGAAATCATTTTTAAAACGATTGCTCTGTGCTTAGCTGCCGTTGAGCGGCTAGTTGTCTTCTTTCCATTACTGCATATAACAATTTTTTTTTTTTAAAAAACCTTATGTCTTTCTTTTTTTAATTTTTACTTTGCAAACATCTCTCTGCGTCTTACCTTTGTCCAGGTTCCTCCCCAGATGGGTCAGATGGGTGGGGTACCTGTGATGGCTCCTCAGCCAATGATGTACAACCAGCCTGTTCTAAGACCCACTAACCCCTTCGCACCCATGCCCGGAGCCCAGGTAACTCTCATACATTTTTAATAACAGCTTAACAGCTGATTACTTTTAGGAAATTAAATGACGGGATTGAAAATGTTGGACTCAAAGTCACCCTGACTTTATTAATTTGGCCAGGCTGGTTATGCGATTGTCTCGGTGTGTTTGTTTGGCAGTGTGTTAGCAGGATTAGTCAAAGTTTTGAATGAATTTGCATGCAAATTTTTCCAAACTTGAGGCTTGAACCAACTTAGAGAAGATACTGCTAATAACAGAGCTGCTCTTATTATGATTACAACATCAGTTTAAATTCTCACGTTCTTTGTGGGTGGCAAAACAGGAAGTTCATGCAACAACATGCTATTACCAAGATTTGTGTTTTGATCAGTGGCACTTTATCAGTTATGAGGTTTTATGAGTTGGTTGTAGATTTTGGGGTTGTTGTTTTTTTGGGGTTTTTTTTAGAACCAGTTATCGGCCCCTGGTGTCCATTAAAAAGACATTAAAATGGAAATTTCAAATTCCTCGTTGGCCTCACTGTACACGACCAGGAGCTCCATCCATTTTATGCCTCTTTCCACTGGTACCTACTTGGCTTTACTTGAATGAACTGTGTTTCAGTTGTTTTCCATTACAACTGAGTACCAGCTCAATATGCGTTGGGTCGTTATAGACTTGCAGAAGCGTTGCTATGACATTTATAAGCGTCGCAATCATAACGCAACAATGGAGGACGTCGAGGTGATGGTGTTCCCGCTGCTTGGTCCATGGCTTTTTGTCAGACTCGGCACCACGATTCTGGTTTTTGTGGAGCCATTTGACTCATTGCAGAGCTTCAAAAATGGCAGTTTTTGTTTTCAATCTCGCTACTGAGTGACCAATCGATGACATGCAGTCTGTTGACCTCACATTTTCAGATCGACTGGAACCTCGGCCCATCAGGTACTAAAAAGTAACAGCTACTACCACGTAATTGAAAACCCTAAAAGTCGAGTCGAGCTGAGAAGGTACGAGTAGAAAAGAGGCATATTTTCTGTGAATGGACGCCTCGTGGGCAGAACACCAGATTTAAGGTCAACATTAAAGAGGTGACTCCAGGATGCTGGATGGCTAGAAATTTGCAACACGACTGTAAAAGGGAAACCCTGAAATAGAAAGACAAGCACAGGCAGTTTGTGAAAAATGCCAAAAGGTTTGTTTTTCCCCTGATTCATTAAAGAAAATTCTCCCAACCTGTGACACAGATGTGTCTTCTTGAGTCACCCACAGAAAACCTGAGAGTGGCAGACTGGTTGAAAACAAAACCAGCAGTACAGTCATAAATAACATTTGGCACACAGAAAGTCATCTCAAAAGCAACAAATGCATAGAAGACAGGGTAAAGAATGATCACCAGGTCAACTGTGTTTTCATCTGATAGCTTTTAAGAGGGCCAGGGAAGTTCAATTATTCAGCCATTTTTAAAAATGCTGGTATTTTTCATAGCAGTTTGTTTGTATTGTTTTTTTTATCTCGTTTTATCTTGCCATTTTTCCTCACCCTCCGTTTTTTGTGTAATTTCCCATTGAGAAATTCTTTACTGCCGTCAGAGCAGAGTGTCAGAGGGCTTCTCTGTGATCAAAACAAACAGTTTCTCCTATCATGTTCTCTCTTCTTTGTCTGTTTAGATGCAGTTTATGTAATCCAGTCAGGAGGGGAAGCAGAGTGCCAAAAGCGACAAACATACAAACAAACAAACAAACAAACAGCATAAACAAACACAAGAGGACGATGAGATGGACGGAAGGATGATTTGCTCAAGCTGAAACGACAGACTGACACAAGATAACCGGGCTGACACCAAAAGCCAAGTTGGAAAGAGGAAGAGAAGATGACGAAAAGGATGGCCTGAGCGACGGCAGGGATTCGATGGGGAAGATGTTATCCTGGCTGGTCGTTGTCTGAAACAACTCTTTGCACGTGTGTGTGTGTGTGTGTGTGTGTGTGTGTGTGTGTGTGTAGCTTCTCTCTGTTTGTCTGATTTGTGTTCCTATCGATGGAGTGATGTTTCAGGAGAGGGAATAAGGACGAGAGAGAACGACGGGGAGGAGGGAAGAGGGGATTCAGGAAATCCTACCTCTGGTTTTCAGTCAGGCTAAATGTATCTGACTGCTGTGAGAGTCTCTGCTGCAGAATTAGCTTTATTTCATACTGGTGCTATTTTGTCCTCTGTGGGTCACTGCTCGCCTGCAACGGCAACTTTGGAGCACTTACAAGAGGACAAGTGTTTGTTTTATTGTGTGTGCGTGTGTGTGTGCGGGTGTGCTCAGCAGTTGTTTCAGACAATACCTTTGCCACGGACCTCCTCTCCATCCCCACCCTCGCTCCCTGTCTGCGTCCACAACCGTCCACTTAGCAAGAGATTTAGTGGCAAATCCTCTTCGGTGTGTTTCCTGTAATTTTCCGCTTTGTTGGGATATATTTGTATTTTTCTGTCAGTTTTTCTTCGCCAACTTCTCCTGAATGTTATCGGGGCTTGTACAGCGATTTGTTGAAGCATTTGTTAATAGTAATTGAGCGTTTGTTGTTAAGGGTTTTGAGCTAAAGTCTTTGTTACTCATACAGCATTGTTTTTCTCCACGTAATGCTACAGATACACACAGAAAGATGGGAGCTAGCAGGCACAACATGCTAGCACTGTATGAAATTATGTTTTAAGGCCTAGTCACACCAGAAAGTGACACAGCAAAACTAAGCTAATAGCAGTTAGCTAGTTAGATAGTAATTTGGTAGTTTGGGGTTTTTTGTTATTATCCTTTGTTTTTCTAGTGGGTAGTTTATTTTTTCTGAATATTATTATAGAAATTTAGTTTAATAAATTAAATACATTGATTAAAGAGATTAATTAAAGAGATCTGTTAGACAGTAAACTAAAGGTTTACTGAAAATACAGCTGTAGTATTTTGAAGTTTTCACTCTGAGAAACGGTAAGGAAAAGAATTGTGCACGTAGCTAATAAGCTACAACAGCATGAGGTCGGTCTACGTTAAACTTATCCAGAGCTGCACCATTACAAATTTTCCTTAAGTCACTAAGCAGTGCTGTTTTCAAATGAAAACTCCCATTACTAAATACAAAAATAATAGATAATCCAGGGAATCAGGAGACTGGACGCTTGTTTCTACCACAGACAAAATGTAACAACTGCCCAAATTCTGGGCTATCTCAAATTTTTGAATATTGAAGTTTCGAGATGCATAACTCAAAATGTTGAGTTATTAAGACAAATTTTAATCATGGTCGCTGTTTGCAACATCCTTGAATTTTGAAGGACAACTTTGAAGAAATTATATCCGTGGTTTGTTGACTTT